TTTATCATTGGCTTGCAAACCTTCAGCTTGCTCAACGAGTGGCTGACACCGTTCAGACACCTCGACAATATGTACACTGACAGAATCTGGAGAAGCGTGAGAAGCGTGCTTTCACTGCGGCCCGCCTACATTCTGTCTATCCAAGCCCCTCGCTGATTGATGCAAACACCACATTGTCCACCCATAAGAACCCACTACCGATTGCCTTCGAACGCCACAAATGCTAGTTGAACATGATCTTGAGAAAAGTAAAAGTCTAATGGATCAGGACCTCGCCGCTGGTACCTAGGCCTTCCTTCTCTTTCGATCTCCACCAAGGCGGGTATCCGGCATGTCGCGAGCTGGACTCGGACTCACAAAAGTGACATGTTTCTCTTCCCTTTCTTCACCATGTCTACGAATCGCCGAAGCTCGCCGAGCGTGTGTCGGAGGTCTGACTGCTTGAGTACAGCTTGGCTGAAAATCCGGCCCTCGCAAAACGCTTCGTGCGTCATCGTCATCGCCTTGAACTTCAAATTCAACTTCGTTGTCGTCATGCTCATCAGATGCAGAGCTGCTACTTGGCGAGTGCGGCTCAAATTCGTCATCATCCACCAGACTTGGTGCCTGGTTCGATTCACTGGTAGGCGAGGGATCCGAAGGATGAATGTCAGATGGTGTGGCACCGTTCATCGGCAGAGTCATTCCACGTGGCCGGTGCTGGGTAGGCTTGTCGTCGGCGCCGTCGTATTGTGGCACCCCTCCTCGCAAGTTAGTGGTGGATCTCAGCATACTGGAGTTCAACAATGGAGATGACATCGGAGACTTGGTAGGTTTCGGTGGTTGTTTGCTGCCCGCAACTTGTGGGTGTCGGCCTTGGCCAGTATGCTGCATGGGAATGTCAATCTCCATTTCATCGTCCTCCGAATCAGATTCTGGCAATTCAATTTTCTTTTTCGCGTCCAGGACCATTTCCTGAAGATCAATTCCTAGTCCTCTAGCCTTGACAAGCTCGGACAGGTTGGGCGTCAAAGCAGATGCCCTGAAATCGGGTGACACTTGTGTTCTCTTGACGCTTCCTGTTGTAGGGGTTGTGCTGGGCGTGGTTTGAGATGTTCGAGGAGGTGTGGGGATCAGAAGTTTAGCTGAACGGATTAGAGGATGGACATTGCCTGCAACAGGTGTCACAGTCGGTTCAACACCGATCATAGCTCCAGTCTCGTCCACTTCAACTGGTTCTCCGCAGGCATCTGCCGCAGCATCATGGCTGGCGAAGCTCCGTCCGTGGCCAATCCGGCAATGATTGATGAAACCTTGGGCACTCCCGAAGTCAAACCGACCACAGTCCGGACAGACTAGTTTCACAGTCGCTCCGTCGGATTTCCTTTTGATAATCATCGGACCGGTTGCCTTCTCCTTCGGCTGCCCGTACCCTGCAGGCAAAGATTTTAGTTTGCCACTCCGCTGCGCACGAGCTTGGCTTGACGATTGCGGTCCTTCTGCAAACTGGCCTCTTGTTTGAGATCTGAACTTCATGGGAGATTTACCAACAGGTGTGATAGCGATGGGTTCTTGTTCACCGCCGTCGAAACGGGGGTCAGACAGTAACCATTTCGCATAGTGCCGTGAGTAAGGGCCGTCTTGAACCCCCCAAGACGCGGGTGACTGGGGTAGTGGAGGTGGGAAGGAACTGCGTAGAGCTGGGCCAGTTCCATTGCTGACACCGATAGAAAGATGTTGCGTTGCCGGGAAAGGAATCTCCTTGCAGCGACGCAATTGCTCTAACGAGGCTTGGGATTTGGCTATTTCTTGGTCGATGAGTCGCAGTTCGTTGTGTTTCAGTAGAATTTCAAGACTGATCTGCGTCTGAATGACGTTCCGGATCGACTGCAGCCTCGCTGCATCCGCGTCTTGCTGCGGAGATTCCACCTGTCTCATTTCTGAGTCTTCCATTTTCTGCTCTGGTGGTGTGGGCAGGAAAGATGGGGAGTCGTTTGGCGAGGATCCAGCAATCTTGAGGGTATCAGGAGGCAAGGCGCGGGTGGAATTGGGAGGTACATGGGCACCGGCTTCTTTATCAACAAACTTTGCCCGTTTCCTTTCTGATTGGGATTGGGTATCCGTTGATTGCTTTCGTTTGTGTGTCGCTGGCATGGCAGATACAGCGAGAGGGCCAGAACCAGGGGAGTCTTGTTTTGAAACAAAGGATCTCATTTCTGGAGAATGGACCTTATCACAGCCTGTCCAGGAGAGCAGGCGCAACATATTGTGTCGCTCTGCAGAGCGATGTGATGCGACCTTGGCGTCGTCAACCCAGTGTTCATCTGGACCATTTAGTCACCGAATATTAGAATGTCCGCCACCTGCCATCGGTTTCTATAACTCAAGCCCGCGGAGTCCGAAGAATGCGACAGTCGTTCCACCACACAACAGAACAAAGAGTGCCGTCCCTTTGCGCACAAGAATCTCGATTGTTTTTGAAGAATATATCCCTTGCCCTCAATCTGACGGGTGTATACGTAGGACAGGAGAGTCCAAACCAGCGTTGTTTGTCAGTCGCTAGAGTACAAAGTTTGTCGTGAATTACAATGCCTAGAAAGTGGTACAAAGCGTGCGCGCAGCGCCGGTGGAGTAGAAAGAGTGTAGATTAGGGCGACAATAACACCAAGAGGAAGTCGGTGTGTCTGGTGCTGAGGATAGATATCGAGTAATGCAGAGGACAGTCTGGTGGTTGGCGGCTGGTTCGAGTATAGGCGTGGAATGAATGACGCAGAAGACGGGAGCCAGCGAAACCCAAGACGGGCGAAGATCGGAGAAATGGCGATTTTGAAGTCGAGCAGAAATACAGGGTTCGAAGAGACAAGATATTAAGATGAAAAAGGCAGGAAGGACACAGCTAGAGAAGATTGATTCAAGAAGCGAGGCAGTGTAGAAGTGGTACGAGTCCAGGTGTAAGTGATGAAAAGACGCAGGTAAGCGCAAGATCGCAGCTTCGAAGGGGGGAAAGAGGCGACAAGTGGAAGGTAGGAGCAAACAAGGGAAGGGGAGAGGGCGAGAGGTAGGGAAAGAGCGAGAGAGGAAGGGAAGGAGGGAGATCGCGCGGGCCCGGGCTCGGGTCCCTCAGGCAAGGCAACGGCAACAAGGGTGGACACGGTGGATGCATCAGAGGGAGAAGAGGCAGCGAAGGGGGGAAAAGAGCTGATGTGCTCAACGGAAGTGGTGCGAGTTGAGTTGACATGAATCCACTCTCCTTACACTCTATTCTGCACCAGCATGAGTATCAAGCCAATAATATCGTGAATCGGCCTTCCCAAGACACGGCTAGAACAACGCTAATTGGCTTTAATGCAATAGAGCATGCAAGGGAGCCACGGCAGGCTTCCAACGGAACGCCCTGCCGGACATCCTTAAAGCCACAAGTGGGGTCCTTGATCACCTGATGTTATGTCGCGATAAGTCATCATCACCAGGAGAAGTCACGTGTCGATATATAACGTATCTCCTCACGATTCTTCACTTGACTTCCTATTCTATTCTGATGAATGCAGACCTTTACAGAAATCGTAATTGTACTGCATACTTTGTCTGATGACACAACCTCTCCTTGGAAAATGTCTTATGCTGTACTCTATCCGTGTCGTAATGCTTCAATATCAGTCCATTCACCACTTAGACATTCACTTTCCGTTCTGAGACACCTACACCCACTCCTTGAACCCTCAGCGTCAAAGTACAACATCTTTAAACTTTCAGAATCAAACGCTGAGATGCCTGTGATATAATATCAATGTGAGACGGATTTTAAAACAGACGAAGACTTCTGCGTCGATCCTATTGCTTCCCGTGAGCACGTGGGCCGACATCCCCGTTCCCTTGAAATCGTCTGGTCCTGGCTTCATGGACAGCGATTAGGCACACAGCATATGGGACATATCTATATGATATGAACTGCCTTCACGCACCGGATGATTGGTGGATGCAACTATCGCTAAAAATATCTACCATTTGCCCCAGGTGAGTGATCGTCCAGAGTTGTCAATGTTCTTTGCCACCCATTACCTCTTGCTTTCAGGACATCGCCTATCGCCATCACTCGACGTCTACTGGCTGGATGGCTGGTCCTTCCAAGATTTGTCGGGAACATGCATCCTTGAAACGTTATGTTTCAGTAGAAAGAGCATTGTTCCCCACAAAAGCCCAATTCTCCGGGCAGAGCATCGAAGTGCCGACTATCTGGAGGGTTGTGTGGTTTTGCCACTAGCGGCTCTTCGGTCGATCTAGCACAGCCACGCAGCCACATGTTCCAACCAGTCATGCAACAGCTCTTGAACAACCACCAACGTCCCTGCGTCGGATCTTCCTGCCAATCCATCTAGACCTTCAGCAAGCCACCACTTACACCCTAGAGAATCTTCCATGGCTTGGACTAGTCTGAGTTCTTTCCAAGTCGCTTGGGCATATCTGAAGCCGCCAACGCTCCCATGGCCGAGGATCTGAATCCAGAACATAAACGACCGCACTTGAGTGGTGTTCCTTGTTTTGTTCCCTGCTGATATGCCTTTAGTCGAGCATACAACCTTCTCATCAGCCGCGCAGGCCGCGCAGACACTAACGAGGATGGGAAGCAAGCGATGAGGATCCGAGCTGAGCACACTGAAGCGATCGTCGGATATGTATGGTAGCCGGGTGCCCTCTGGTGATGATCCTCACGAACTCCTCTTGTCGAGGCAGAAATCATTTTCTCTTACCTTCTTATGCATATGCTCTGTTTCCATTGCAATCGCCTGCTTTTTTGCTTGTCTTGACTCAAGAAAAGATTTGATCTAATCAGTCGCAAATTGCAAGCGGGGATTATCAGCTGCACGCACCGCATATACACATGTCTCGGTAATTTACAACCAAACGGCTTGCAATATGAGGCGAATCTTGATTTCGCTGCTTGCGACAGCCGCTTTCCCTCTCCTAACGACCCAACAGACGCTCGACCCTTTGAGCATCATCGTATCTGAGGCCTTTTCTGTCTACACAGAAGTCAACTCACTTCTGTCTTCCGCTGCTTCGGCTGTCTCAGCAGCAGCTGGGTCCGCGGTCTCTACGGCGGGAACTTCGTCTCCGGATGCGGCTTCTTCGAGTACCATTGCGCAATATACCGCAAGCTCAAATGACGCGACATCAAGCGAAAGTTCAGGACTTTCAGATTCGTCTTCAACTTCGACTACGTCCGCACCGTTCATCTCAACTTCGAATCCTTCAGCCTCAACACCATCTTCGGCCTCAACTACCTCTTCACCAATTTTTTTCGGATCCACTCCTTCGAGTACGCCGAATGCCAGATCCTCTACTCCTTCCGGAAGTTCATCATCCATTACATATCCAACGAGGACATCTCCAGTAATAGGTACATCTTCAGTACTAGGGGCCGCCGCTGGGACTGAAACAAGCACATCCTCACTCGCAAAATCGAGACAAGACTCCGATCTTCCTATTATCCTTGGCTGTGTTCTCGGAGCCCTGGCACTCGGGTTCTGTATTTTGGCCTTGGTCCTTTGCTTCAAACGCCGGCGACTCAGCTCGTCACCTCGCCATTCCGCCCTCTCCGCTGGCGATGATGAAGTTGAGAGCTGGAGGGTGAATCGACCATCAGTTTCAGGTGCAAATCAAGATCCACTGCGTCGTGGTATACTCACCGGAGGAGTCGCACCCCTCATGTCCGAACATCCTGCCTTTCGCACGTCTCAAGGCTATGAGAACCCATTTGTTCCTGTACCTCCACCACCAAGACGCGCGGCTCCCAATTCTCGACCTGGTTTGACCGACGGCATGATCCCTGGAGATGACCCTTTTGTGAAGGAGATCGGTAAGCCGTCCAGGTCTGAAAGTATATCGTCAACCTATAGCACGCATCATGTGGGTGGCATTGCAGCGGGGATCGCGGCGGCAGCAGCTGGAGCCGGCCTCATGCACTCATATGACCATCATCCTGATGAGAACGAGCCAATGGTGAGCCCTGTGCCAGCGAGCGATCGAACTGTTCCCGCGCAAATCACCCGCAAGCCTGTCCCGGTTCACTACGCCAACAACAGCGAACCATGGCCTTACTCTCCCGTCTCACCCATCGATCCTGTCGCCGAAAATGCCGGCTTCATGGCATCTCCAAGGAAAAGTAGCGGCGAGAGCGGCCCAAGCCTCAGTCGCGATCCCGCCAGAGCGAACACCGTGTTCGATCAAGATTATGCACCTCACGGTGGTGCTCTCGGGCAGGATGACCATGGACTTGGAGCTGCTACGGGAGGATCTGATGCTGGGCCTGTTGGCGTTGCAGCTCTTGGCCATTGGGATAACCGTGGTTACCATCGATCGCGAAGCCGGAGCAGCAGTAGCAAGCGGCACAGTCGGCCCTCAATGGCCTTGCCCAGTGATGGACTCAAGAAAGGCGGGAGGACGTCCGGGGACCATGGGAGCAGCCAAGCCTATAAGGATGTTCTCCCTCAAAAATCATATGACGGCAGCCTTCCAGGCGAACACGACCCATACAGGGCCTCTGCGACCCCGCCTCCTCGCTCTCGACGCAACAGTGCTTTTGGGCCTGCGCACCCTGGTGCGGTGGCATTCAACGGTGCCAACCGCCCTGTAGTACCATCTCCGCTGTCCAGCGAAGTCCCCCGCGACCCGAGCTATTCGCCTCCGCGAAGCCGGGCGCGAGGTCTGAGTGGGAGTTCGTCACGGTTCTCATTCTCCTACGAGCCTGTAGCCGATGATTATGGTGCCTACCCACCGTTTTCTATCACGTCCAGTAACTTCGACCGTGGCAAGACAGGACAAGACAAGACTCCTACGGACCAGAGCACCAGCGACCTCACCCGTCCTGGTGTTACGAGCGCCAACGAGTATGTCTTGACAGCCACCTCAGGTCCGTTAGGGCCCCAGCCGCATATTGAAACTCTACCCTCCAGCTCTGGGGACAGAAAAGCAGCGATGGATACCGATGACGCGCCATGGCGGATGAGCGACGGGATGCCGGCTGGTTGGCAGCGCACCAGCACGGACAGTCCTCGCAACAGTCGGGAGCACATGAGGAATCGCGATTCAGGTGTGAGCATGGGAACCGGAGCGGGACTAGGCGGCCGAAGAGGGCGGAGGTTGCGAGCGAGCGACATAGCGGGTTCATCGACCGCAAGGCCAGGGATCGATGACGACAGATACGGCTACGGCTACGGATATGGCTATGGACAGGCGCTCTGACAGAGCGACATGGCTTGAGTCCGGAGACCCCAAAGCGCAACAACAATGAATGACGATATCCAAGGAACGAGCCCAATCTGTCTTAATTTAGCTTGAAGCGTCTTTTTTTCCTCCCAGCGACGACTCTAATGGGCATAGGCTATGGCGTCATGTATGTATGTATGTATGTACCTACGTCGAATGCGACGTCTGTGATCTCTTCGGGAGTTCTCTCGTCAGAAATCCGTGGCAATTGCGATAGTGAAAAGAACTTGAGACTCGAGGACCCAGAGAGATTTACATGCGTACAAGGACAATATGAAGCTTTAGCAGCGAGAAAAGACATGATTCTCGCCCTTCGCCCTGCGTACATTTACGAGAATGGAGAAATAAAAACTTGATAGGTGTGATCGAACATGAACAGTTCAAAAGGAGAATGCAGCACAGTGAGCAGCTCGAAGCCGTTACTTCCCTGTGAACCCCTTCTGAAAATGGTCTGTACATAAAATGTGCTCCCTGCTCCATTTGTCCTGATGCAATGTATTTCCCTGGTGACACCTTGTTATTGGGCCAATGCTGGATCTAGCCTCGTCCCGTTTCTCGGGAGTCGGTTCGCAAAAGTCAAGATGCAAGTCTGAATGCAGATGATAGATGTACCTCGTACCCCGATGTGAGGGTGTCTGATGCCCTTGATGTCTGACGGTCCCTGTTCCCATCAAAAGCCAGCGTGTCCACTGCTGCTCTGCGACATGGCGCAATGATATCATTCCTGACAGAAAGAAAGTCATTCGATACCCGTTTTCCGTTGACGAACTCCATAATAGACAATACATGCACTTCCTTCCATCCTGGCCTCATGCCATCCATTTAACCATAAGGCATGATACAGCTCCAAGCGCCATAAGTGAGACTTGAAGCCAACGAATTGCGCTCGGCAATTAAGTATATTGATATATACGAGATTCCAGATGGTCTAGTTCAGTAACTTGACCATGTCCGAGGGTATCCGCCCAGTAGGAGATACCGTTTCAACATTTCGCCACTCTTCGCGCATCGAAGTCGAGGGAGGCGTTTCTGGCGCCGGAGTCACTTCCACGCTTGAGAACTCGGGTTTGTGCATTGGAATAAATGTGTCGTTAGCATCGCGTCGAGGTGATAGAGGCACGGGTAAAGTCTTTTTATACGCTCCGTTATTGATCGCGACAACCGGTTTGGTGACCTTTCCAGACAGGACTCCCTGTTTTTGGGGATTGGTAGATGCCCTGATCTTGGTGACCTTGGGCTTCTTGTTCTGCGAAGTCTTGGATTTTACAGGCTTGTCTTTGTTCTCCCTTCCACGGAGCAATTCAGCGATGGACCTGCCAGCACTTGCTGCATTTCTGACCGACGCCTGTTTACTTCGCTCGGTAACGTTGAGTTTGATTCGGATCGGCGAAGACGTTATAGATGTGACCCCAGGTTCTGTTTTTGTCCTCGAGGACGCATCTCCATTCTGGCTTCGTGGAGGGGTTATCGCATGGAAGTCTGCTGACGGCAGCAAGACTTCGACTGGGCCTTCGTCCTTCTTGGAACCCGGAGGTATGACCACCTGGATCTCGCCCTGGTCGGACTTGATTCTATCCAGATCTGCCTCTGTGTAATTCTCAGCGACATCCTGGCTGGGATCATCCCATTCTTTTAAGCGTGCCAATCGTGCCACTTCGTCACTGTCACCTTTGACAACAAGATCCCAACAATTTTCGAGATCCCTTCCGGGAGGTACTGGATCGCGATTGATCCACACTGTGGTACCTTCCCGCCGATCTCTGACTATTTGGCACATCTCATGGACGATGCGTCGCACGGCCGGAATCTTCATGCTGGTGCCGACGACAATGACTGCATCTGGCCTCGTACGAAAATCTGCCGTCGTCACTGCACCAATCGCTTCGTCATCAGGATTATGCTCATTATAGAGGACAATTCTGGGCCGTAATCTGCCAACCCCGTGGCTTCTTTTTCCTGCATGGGCAGTTCTCAATCGGTCTGCCGCAACGCATTGAGGACAAAGTGGAGGAGCAGCTCCGTCAAACAAATTTGCTTGGAAATCGGAGATGTGCCTGCATTTCTGACACATCATTTTCTCGAGACCTCCATGAAGTTGCACGGTCTTTGGCCAGGGCGCTTTGTGGTTGAGAGGAACTTGAGTAGCCAGTGGTGGTAGTGAGGTCTCTAAACAGTCGACATTTTGTGTATAGAGTCGCAATAACCGTCCCTCGACAGCGAGTCTAGCTAGGAAACGGTGGAAGATGGTTGGCTTGGCATTCGCTGACATCTTGGAGAGCTTGCGAACCATGTCGTGAAAACTCGAGGTTGAATGGTCATCCTTGTAGACTGAGGCATCAAAGAGCATTTTCCCAGAGCTTTTCAATCTGTGTTCCCCTCTCAAGCTTCTGAAAAGTCCGTGGGAAGATCTGAAATCCGGAATCCCTGCTGAGACAGATATACCCGCCCCTGCAATCACCACGATCTTTCTTCGGTTGCGCAAGGCCTTCAGAAGGGTGTCTAAAGCTTCTGAGCGATCGTACTCCGACTGCGCAGTATCTGAAGTGAGATCCAAGTACTGAGTAGTGCGAATCTTTGGCTCGATTTTCCGGCGCTTTCGTGGACGCGGCATTTCGTCACCGGCATGCTGTGAAGGAGGTGGAGTGAGAGTCTGGAAGCCAGGAGGTAACTCTGGCGAATCTGGAGGGGAGGTGAGAGGTGAACTGGGAGGCGAACTCAAAGGGGACGAGAGATCTGAAATGTCCCCAACGTCCATGGTGAATCGGGAGTTGTGGTGTTAGTAGAGTAAACGAGCGATTTTTATCGCATGACTTCAGGAAGGAGCGATTCTTCAGTCTGGGCTGACCCTCTACTGACTATTTCCTTTGTGTCCGAAACAATGCAACCGGTATGTTGGAGTTCGGAAGGAGTGAATACTCGAAAGGATATCTCGTAGATGGCAAAAGAGCGAAGATGAGCTGAGAGGCTCGATGGAGAAGGCGCAGTTTGGGAGTTGGATGATGAGGCTGGCAGGGGGGTGCAGATGAGACGAAACTGAACCGGGAAGTGGACAGCGAACGAGCGGGAGAAACGGGCGGAGAGACGAGAAGCAAGCGTCAGCGGCTCCTGGCTGTTTGCATGCTGGACCTGACAGATGCCCGACGCCCAGGACGATGGCCTAAACTCTGTTTGACTTGATTGCTTGCAGCTGCACAACAACAAACGGGAAGGGCAAGGGGAATGAGAGCCGGGGCCAGCGGAGTCCTTCAGTGATTGGCCGGCAGGTCTTTTGGGGGGCCGATCAGTGCCTGACAGATTTGCTGTGGGCGAGCGGCATGACTACTAGATTTTAAGTCTGGACAGGTACGAGGGTACAGCTCATGATCATACAAGTAGGTAACGAGTACAGCTAGCTCTCAGGGTCTCAGAGCTGGATTGATTGGGGTCTGTCTAATCCATTGATGTATATCAGAAGGTGTTCTCAATGATTGATCGAAATTGACCTGGTATGCAGTGGTAGTCAAACATCATGAATGCAGGTGGGTAAAGGGTAAAGGTCCAACGGTGCTGTTACCGCGGCTACCGCCTAGAGAGGGACCCCAGAAAGCCCTTTGTGGCTTGTGGCTAGTGGCTAGTGGGAGAAGCTCGTGCTGCTTCGGCGGCTTCTGCGGCCTGCTCCCACCGCCTGGTTGCTACCCCAGTGTCCGATTCGCCCACCTTTGACAATTATTCCCATTGTGCGCTGCACCCACGTTTCAGCCTTTCGCGTGGGAAAACAACCTCGTGTCCAATTCTCATTACTCCTCGACACAGGGCTTTCATCATCCTCTGTGCCTGTGTCCCTCTTAGCATTCCCTCTCGATCCAACTCTTTGGTATAGTTGCGCTCAACTCACTCGTATCGAATTTTAGGGAGGACCATGTTCTGATGATGCGCTGAACCTTACATTTCACCTTCAGACCTACCACCTGTGAAAGGATGCGGTGATTTTATGGCCAGACTACTATTTGTTGTCGGACTGGTAAAATGAACTTGCGAAGTTGTACGCCAATATCGTCAAACATTGAACCAGATGGATCAAGATCAACCAGACGATTTCGCGTCGGAGTCTTTCTTCGACGAAAATTCCCTACAGCAACAGATCCAACAGATCGATGCAAACGCTGATCTCAACAACGTCCCAAATGTTGCCATCCCTCCAAATCCCGCTGTCCTCGACAAGCTCTCACGTCGGTGGTATTGTGGCTGTTTGGAACGTACAGCGTGGTCGAGACATGGTCATCTTGCCAGCATATCCGATGATGGATCCACTGTCTATTTGGAGTGTATTCGATACAACTATGAATTAAAATCATGGGGTCTCCATGAAAGACACTCCTTGACTACCCTCTTTGAAGACGCCACTAGCCTGGCTTGGAGCCCAAATGGAGGGGAACTTGCAGTGGTCGATGTCAAGGGCCGCATATGGATTTATCACAACTCTCTGCTCGCTATCAATCGCCTCACTCTTGCTCGACAAGGGGCTCTAGACGAGGGCGACGAGTACTCCCAACCGGTCGGGATGACATGGCTAAATCAAGATCGTCAGGAGAGACCAAGAAATGTCGTCACACATGCTTTCAAGGGTGAGAGTCGGTGGCAGCATGCTAACGCCAGAGCTAAACCACTCGGCCCCTATTGGCATCGTGCCGTTGCAATCGTTCACCGCAACGGGCTCTTCACACTTTGCTTTCAAAGAAGTGATGGCCAGTATTCCAAGGTCACCAAGCGACTATCTCCGCCAGACGACATCCTCTACAGTCATGCCAGCTTTGCCCCCACTGTTGAAGGAAAGATGCTCATCACTCTGCACTCGTTCAAAAAGACCATCTCGGTTTACTTCCTCTCGATAGACTGGAACGAACTTAAGCAATCTGTGGAAAGCTTGCCGATTTTGAATCTTGAATCAGTTTCAAGCAATGTCTCTTCGCAGCCCTGCGGATCTCCCACTCTGCCTGATACATACGACCCGGATTCCTGGTTACTTAGCCACCTAGAGATTGTGCGCACTTCGGATGTCGAGAAAGCGGTCCAGATCCCCCCCACTATTCTCGCAATTTCTTCTGGTGTCAATAGAACTGTCAACATACCAGATTCAGGCTTCCTGGTATCGAGCATGATCAAGAGGTGGACGGTCGCTCCTGTCGAACAGAAGTTACATCCCCTATTTGATGCCCTGCCATCTATAGGTCCGGGGACGACAGCACCCAAGCCTTCTTATACCCTCCAGAGGCTGCCCGATAAGGAAGAACAGGTCATTACGACCATTCATCATGTGGATGGTGTCCAAGCGCTTGTTGTTACAACACAGGAAAACCGCACTGATTTCTTGAGCTCGGAGGACTTATCGCCCATGTCCTATGCCGGTTTGGCACAGGAAACCACATCCATGTCTCAATCTGGATTTGCATATCCCTACGCTCAAGTGATTCTCACACCAACTTTCTCCCCCAATGCATGCTTGAGAGCAGATCTGACACCAGAGGGCAAAACACAACTTGTTGCCATGGAATACCAACTAGGACAGCCACAGTCACTACAGCCGCTGGATCCAAATGTTGACGTGGCTCTTGCATCCCTAAACCTGACCTTTGCACGAGCATGCTGGTCGAATGCTACCATCGATGACATCCTGATGTGTGTGTCACAGTCCATTCCGACCGAACTCATCCCCACTGTAATTTCAACTGCCTATCGCACGCTCTTTCGAGACAATGACTTTGTGAACGAAAGGACTGAGGGCTCGGAACTCGAAAAGTTTATCCACAAGACGGTGATAGGAAGGGTTCTGTCTTACCATGCAAGTCTCGCGGCAAACTGTACTCAGCTTCCCTCCATCGCCTCCACTGATCGAAGACATGGTTGTTGGTCACTCAGCGCACAGTGGGCTTGGTTGGTAAACAATATCCGACAGGCTGCAACTCTGCTTTTCATGGCTATGAGGGACGTGCAGAATATCCAACTCGTCATGAGCCAAGACCTGACGGACCTGCTCTGCTCGAATCTCCGGTGGGGTTTGTCGCTGATGAGGTTTATCATCAGCACCATTTTAGAGGTAGGCGATCGGGAGACAAACCCTGAAATGTTTGATGAGAAAGATCCCGGCAGAGCGGGCGACTCTCTAGGCGATGGGAGTCAGGGTCTGGTTGCGCTGCTGTTGAACTGCCACCCTTCCCGAATTTTCTTGATTGCCTTCGTCAGAGCTGTCAGGGCGTACGCGAAGAACACAGAACCAAAATCTAATCATCACTTGCAAGTTCTCCAATGTATTCAACAGCAGACGTCGGGAAAAGGACTATCATTTCAAGCCATGGAGGCGCTCCTCGAATACAGATGGTCGGCGGTCGGTGATGTGGATAGGGACATGGCCGCCACAGCTGCACGCCAGCTCGAGATGATGGCCACGGGGATTGTGCATGAGTCGTACCAGGGGACGATCAAGGTGCTACTTAACACACTCTTCAACAGTGCTCAGGGACTGCGAGCCAAGATGCTGATCGACCGAGTTAAGCTGTTTATCGACCATGTCGATTTGGAGTACATCTTTTTGAACAACGACATCCTGGGTCGACGAAGCACTGATGAAGACCCCGATAGGAAGGAGGTCATCTATGATGTGCATCGGAAGAGACCAATTCTCAAGGGCGTGGCAGAGCCCGGCGGCACAGGGCAACTCATGATTAGGAAATGCTTGAGATGTGGGAGTTATAGTGAGGACGTCGTCAATGTGCCACCTAGGGAGTGGCCTCGGCAAGTTGCTATGCTACTTATGAGATGTGTTTGCGATGGCAGTTGGGTGCTTAAGCCTTGGGATACGGTCCACAAATGAAGCGCAAAAAGCCTGCAGGGTGAATTTTGGGGAGTTCCAGAACCCCATGTACTTGGGCGAAATCAGCAAAGCCGTATCGAAGTGTTTTGCAACCGTCTTCAATGAAATTTTGGGTTCGTGTTTTCTCATTTGTCCCCGTAGCGCCGCATGACACAGGCCATACCCGCCATTTCGTTGTGTCTTACAGTCATGGACTGCTCAAGCTGAAGCTCATAATTCTAGAGCTGGGGAAAGCATCCTCCACCTCACAAAAGTCTTCGGAACCACTAACCACCATCACTTGTTTTTCCCCCAGCGACTCATCCATCAACCTCAATGGTTTATTTTTTCACGCGTAAACCTTTGAAACACACCTCTGTCCTTTGCCCGAGACACCATTTTACTCGGCCTTCACAGCATACTTCCTCGCGGGGAAGTGCGTCAGTCTCTTCTTCTGTTTCTCTGTGACCCTGCTGGCGTCCTTTTTCGAGAGCCGGCGGCGGATGGAGCGGGTCAACTTGGGTCGCAGGTCGAGGGGCAGGTACTTCTTCTTGGCGTAGAACAGGCGAAGCTGGTGGCGTTGGTTTGCGTTGATGACGGTCAGGACGCGGGCGATAGATTTGCGGAGGTCATGTCTATCAAAACCCGGGGATATCAGCACTGTGCTCGCCTCTCGCCCATGTAAAAAACTTTTGTAGATCGAGAAGGGAAGGGGGGAATTCAATCCAACGCCGTCTTCTTCATTTCCAATCGGTGGTTTGTAGAACATACATTCTTGTCAATTTTGATGAAGCGCCGCCGGCGATCTTCTGCACGCGCAATTGCCCCAGCTCGGTCTTGAGCTCGTCGAGTTGTTTCTTCAGGTCGTCCTTGGACTTGCCCCAGAGCTGGCCGGGCTTGACTTTGGCGTTGGTCGACTGTAGTGTAACTTATCAGCATTGGTTTTGTGGCTAGGTTAGTCGAAGGGTTCACAAACCATCTTGGCTGGTTAGTAGAAACTTGTCGATGTCGAGGTTCGTTGAGAAGAGTTTGTAGATTTGGATGTCGTTGACGGTTCGGTCGGTCGGTCGCAGTCTAGGGAAAATTGTTGTGTGCAAGCCCCGATTTCTGCCAAGATTTATTTTGCACGTGATCAACCTGCGAGATGCGCCTAACCGGCTACGGTAAGTTCCGCTCACGCCCCATGCTTCCGCGGCTGCGTCGTCGTTAGGACAAGGTGGGAACTTTGACCACCGACTCTCCTCCAGCCACGAGACCAATTGTCAATCCGGGTCGAAGACTGTACTCGATGAACCATATTGGGACGATGAATTCAGTGATGACCTCGCTCTTATAGACGACTGCCCAGACGTTCTTCCACGTCACTTCGGCGAGCGACTCTTGCGATGGCAACTACTACGGGATGGGCGCAACTACGTCAACAGATCCGGACACTGGAAAGCCAGGTACGTTGGCTGTACCGCCTAAGGAATGCTCCCATGTGACTAATTTACTCTCTGGCAGACTGAAGCCCTATTCCACACTTATTCACAATATGCGTCCACCCCTAATCTCCCTCCCAAGCCGTCAGACGAGGAACAAAGGAACGAAGCGGAAATACAGGAGCTGCTAGAAAAGGTGGGAGCCGACGGTTGATCATTGAGGGTGCCAATTACACAATCTAATATTCTCCCACGTATAGCGTGAAGGACTGGTCTCGCAACTCGCTCGACTCCTCGACTCCGAAAGCGCCCTGAGCACATCGAGTCTGAAGCAGAACAATCTCTCCCGCCACCGTGAAGTCCTCAGTGAACACCGCCAGGAACTCCGTCGCCTTAAAGGCTCCATATCCGAAGCTCGTGACCGCCAGCATCTCCTCGCAAACGTACGCTCTGACATCGACGCATTCCGGTCGTCTAACCCAGCTGAGGCCGAAGCCGAATACATGCTCCAAGAGCGGGCCCGATTGGACCAGAGTCATAATGTCATTGACGGCGTTTTGTCCCAAGCATATGCCATCAACGAGAGTTTCGGGATTCAGAGAGAGACTCTGGCCAGCATCAACCGACGGATTACCAGCGCCGCGGCTCAAATCCCTGGTGTGAACGGTTTGATCCAGAGGATCGGGTCCAAAAGGCGGAGAGATGGCATTATTCTGGGGAGTTTCATCGCATTTTGTTTTCTGATGCTGCTCTACTTCAGTTGATCGCACACGATCGAGAGGGCACCACTACAGGCCAGTATTCGAGGCCGTACCTTGAGTGGCAGCAACCTCTTCCAGGTGCTGAGGATTCCATACTTACGCTTCGACTCTCCCTCCACTTCTTTCGTCGGCACACCGAGATGTCCCTGCTGCCCACGTTGTCGGCAGAGATTCCTATGAGGCTACTTCTCCAGAGTGGCTGAACCTTGAAGTGTTTCAGGAGAGAGTCTGTCGAGCAGGGTCCGAACCTGGAAAAGTGAAGGGAAGATGCAGCCAGTGGAGCGTCGGGGTTGGAAAGTGGCTGAAGAAATTCTGCACAAACTCACTCAAACCAAGCACAAAAATCCCGAGAGAGTGCGAATCGCACATGACATGATAACGCCGCTGAGAGAAAACACATCAAAAGGAGGTGGCTCGCCTTCTGTAGCAGCTTCTGTTCGGAGCAGAACTCTGATCAATGGGGGATCGCAAACATCTGATATGATATGGAAGACTGTAAAGTTTAGGCGTTACTTTGGAAGGGTTTCATCATGTGCTGATAACATATTGTCATGAAGTTGGTTGGTGAGCAGAGCAAGCGACACATTTTATCGAGGACTATTCAATTTATAGGTGCTGGATGTGGATTGGCCGATCTAGTTTCGAGGCATGGCGCATAAGCTGTAGAACATATGTAAGAATGCTCGTCTCGACCCAAGGCTTTTGAATCGCAATTTATCGGCCGCTTAGCACACTGTATGAATGCATTAAGTGATTCGATCAATACCTTTTCTATAGACAGGCGCGAGCAAGAGACCGCCCAGAGGTTGGCAGAGTGTCTGAGTGTCTTCTGAGAGTGGATGGAGATGGGGAGTCGGCAGATATTGACTCGGTAATATTAATGCTCGAATGATGCCAACCCGAATTGGGAGGTGGGTTGCTCTCCCACCAACTTTTTCTTTTTCACCCTGAGATTCTCAGCCTTGGCCATCCATCCATCAATTACTACTACCTCAATACCCAAGTACTTGGTCGGCTAACACGGCGCCCGTCACCCATCGCCCATCGCTTAGCTCTTGTCGTAACTCGCAACGCACTTCGTCCCTATGTTTTATGTACCTGAAAGTAGCCAAATCGGCCAGTCGGCTACTGACATCCCAATGAAGTTCTAGTTCTTTGGAAGTGCTTGCTATTGATCGTCACTCCGGGATGCGACGCTGGAAGGAAAGAGGTTTTGGCGCCCCGGGGCAATATACCCTCCTTGAACGAAAATCCCTATCTCCTTGGTCTGAGTCTTGTTTTCCCACTTCGATTTTTCCTTACCGTGCCCTAATTAACTAAGCCCTTGGGACTTTTCTTGTCCCTACATATGTACTGTCTGTCAACTAGCGTCCGTCTCGTCCATCTCCGTTATTCCCCAAGAATCAATTCCCAACAATGGATTAATGATGACGACGGTGGTTCCCCTGTTCCCGTCCCCCTCTTCTTCTTGGGTATGTTGTATACGGAAGTTTCCTCTTTTCACATGAGGTCAAGACAAGGCATGTTCGTTCATATGAAACACAAACCTCATGCTGTGCGTGGGCATGGTATCGTGTGAATTCCTGGAAGTGGAGCGTAGAGACTATGAGGCATCTATCCGTACGCATCGTCGTAATAGATCTCGACGACTAATTTTTTTTTTTTTAATCGTCAATGCGTTCCGCTCGTTTAGTGGTACCATATTCACTATTCTGGACGCTGTTTTCCGAGTACCTATACGGGTTATTACTCATGACCGCTTCCCTCTTGACACCCAAACCGCCCTGAAGGAGGACATTGTGATTTACTTTTTTTGGACTTTGGGGAGGGGCGCACACGGCTATCGGCTCGCGTTGCTCGCTCGTGTTTTCTCACTTTTTGGTTTCCCGGCCACTTCCCGCACAAATCAGAGGACGGGCATGCGACATTTCTTATACGAGGTACAAACGAACAAACGGATGCTAGATCGAGCGGGTGTTGGTGGTCCTTTCCGCACTAAAAAGTAATCATTCTTTGCCTGAACGAGGGACAATGGCGCCCATGCAATCGATGGAGGGCTGCTTTTTCCCAATCCATACTTGTAATGACTCGATCCCGCCAAACTGGGAAGATACGATGGAATCATGGGCCATTCCGAAACGCACCCCCTTCTGGGATAAGGTTCGGGGTTCCGAGTGAGTGAGAGCTGATCTGTTGAGGGAGAAAAAGGGAAAAAACAACCAAGCCCAGCTCTCGTCAGATGAAAGGGCTTATTATCTGCGCTTGGTACTTGGTAAGAGCATTGGCAGATGTCACACTTGTCAGGGACGGGAGGGGAGAGGAGAGGTTAAACATTCCGGCTGATCTGAAAACCTTCCACGTGAAGTAGAGACGCAAGACAAAAAGACGAAGAGAGTACGGTGGGAATGAAAAGGAATTCCCCGTCAAGCTTTTTTGGGTTTGTAACGTGGGTGGTAGTGGTAATAGATACTACGAGGTACTCCCGCTCTTTCCCCTGCCCAACAAACAGAGAGGACGAGAGAGGAGACTCGGAACGTCGTTTGCGGCGAATGTAACTTATTGGCAAGGAATGACATACCTACATACATGTGTGTCCATACCCAAACTATACTTATGCATGGTCAAGACACACGGACTAACCCACCTGTCCCTTATTCTGTTCTTCCCACCACACTCACCATGATGTGGGAGGAGGTATGAGGCAAAAAAAATCCCGCTCTTCCGATTTCCCGCTCTTGTTGTCCGCGATAACCGGTGTCCTCGTTCCTCGTTCCCACGACCCTCACTCACCATGCACGGCTCAACGACTGGCGGAGTTTCTGAACTGGGTGCCATGTGTACTCGTACTTGCAATGGAATACATGCATGAGCTTTAGAAACGTCCCTGCAGCCAGCTAGCCATCAAGCCGTTATCCATTGGCCCATTGGGTGGGAAGGGCCCGGCCGGGGGATGACATTCCATCTCCCTGAGCAATACTCGTACCAACCAAAGGCTCCTAACTACTCAGTCGTCGTCTTCCTGTATGCGAGCCATTCATTTCCTCCTGCAGGAACTCAAGTCATGCATTTAGCAGAATGACTTCCCCTCCAGCGAGCGAGAAAAGCACAAGGAAATTACCCAAAGAGTAGAGGAGAGGAGAGTGTCTGAGAGAGGGGACAAAGCCCAGAAATATCTACCCAGTACGCAGTACTTGTATGAACGGTACTTCTGATAATAATGCTTTGCTGGAACAAGCAGAATAAAAAAAACAAGGCGAGGAGGCGAAATCCTTGGGACTTGGAACAAGATTTTTCTCTTCTCCCATCCCCCTCCCACGCCCTCTCTCTCTCTCATATGTGACTTTAAAGATCTGAGGGCTTTTTTTTCTTTCCCCTCGTCAAAAACTCATTCCATGACCCTTGTATTAGTAGTAGTGGAGAAATCTTTTGGCGATTGGCTAGGCTTGACAAGAAAGAAGGTCATATTACATTACAACCCTTTTCCGAGTGAGAACTGGACTTGGGGGGCTATAGTATCCCATCTCTCCCATCATTTTTAGAACATCCATTCCGCCCTTCCTTACCAATCTATTCCACACAACACCCCCCGTTCTCGCTCGATTCTTTTCCCCATCTTGGCCCCTTGGGAAAAGAGAATACGAGATATTAGCCTTGTCCGATTCTGCGATATTGGACCCTTCTTTGTTCGCCTCTGGCTCGCAAAACCCTCTCGAGTTTTCCCCACCATATACTATTCTTTCCCTCGACTTGTTGCGGGCAATAACTCCGTTGACATCACGATATACTGATTCCACTTT